CTATAACTTTTAATTTTATTTTAATTTTTAACTCTAAGTATTGACAACAAAATTATAATAAAAGATTATATAGCGATTATAAACAAGTATAATTAGCTAGATTACATTTATTATATATATACTATTACACAACTCCCGGTCTGAGGATCGGTTTTTGGGAGGGGTATCAGTTTTTGTGACAATTTAAAGTTTAGAACTTCGATTAATTTCGTTTAACCAATAAAATTTTTTCTAGATCACGGGATGATATATTGGCCAATCACAATGAAAGCCCGCTATGCTCAAAGATTTCAGTTTTAAATTGACTATCGAAATGGAATAGATCGAACCTAAAAAGACTAGTAACGCGAAATATATTTTAACATTTCTTTGCGTCGCTACGATTTAATTAGATCAAGGTTGTATGGGTAACGAATTTACCTTTGCGTAGCAACGAATCTGATTGAAATTTAAATTTTCTTGTTAAAGTTCTATGTCCCGGCCGGGTTATGAGAAACAAAAAAAAATTTTGTATAGCCTAATATATTTTTTTATTTAAAAAATAACGTAATCGATCTAATTTAATTCTAAAAATAAAAGCTTAATCTAAAATTAAATTTAGAACTTCATTCATACATATATATTTGCATAATAACGATAATGTATACGTAGAAAGATTGCTATTAAATTGGCTAATCATTAATACGCATCATACATAAAGTTAATAAAAATCTCCACTTTGGCACCAAAACTTCTTTTTTTTTAAAAAAAAAACAATATATACTTTTATTTAACTATAGAACAGTAAACTATAAAATGTACAAAATTATTCAATGTTGAAACCATAATTTAATTTTGATACAATTGATACTTATTTATTTTATTAAATATATATATGTAGTTTTTAAAGCTATATACCGTCTTATTATAATTTTTCTAATCCTACTTTTTTTCACCTTGCAAAGTCACAACAATTCTTCTTCCTGACGCAAATTCTCTGTGCTCCAATAACCAAATACTAAATCCAAAAAGAATATGTTACTTTTATTAATTAAATAAATAAATTTTTAACATTTTTTAGTTTGATACATTTTTACCTACCCTTGCCAAGTTCCTAAATTCAACGTTCCATTCGTGATAGGAATATTTAAGGATGAACCGATTATAGCATTTTTAAGATGACCAGGCTAAAAAAAAGGATTGTTGTAAAGTACATTTTTTCTCGATTCTAACATTCTTGTCACTGAATATAATCAAGTTTGCTCTTATCATACTTATAAAGAAAAAAATCTATAATAATGATTACGCGCTTCTTACCATATCATCAGGACCTTCTGCTGTATGAACATAAGGCCAATTCTCAGGAACTAATTTATTTAATCCCATCTCCATGTCCACACGTACATCTGGGTCAGCATTTTCGTTTAAACAAAGTGATGCGGATGTATGTTGTACTTTTAAATATGTACATTTAGAAAAAATGAGTCTTGCATAGTTAAAATAGGTTAAAACAATTGAATTCACGAACTTACAGAATACATTTGCCAACCCAATTTTATAATTTCGTATCTCAGGAACTTGACTTACAATTTCATTTGTAATTAAATGACAGCCTCTAGCTTTCCTTCTTAAGCTAATACTTGTTTGATACCACGACATTTTCTTTCTTTTGAAAAGACACTAAATGTAAAATTGATGTTCTATAATGTTATACTTTTTTGTAAATTTTGATTGGTTATCAAATTTGTAAGAATTACGTGTATTGAAGTTTAAATTTACTATCAAAAATCGATCTTTTTTTATTAAAGAATTCTCGTGTAAACATGTCTTCAAACAACCCCGGAAGTTCCTCCTCATCGTCTAATAATAAGCAATCAGCGGATAATACTGGTGGAGAAAGTAGTAAAACATCTCCACAACAAACAACAGCACAACCACAAAAAGTTTCTATACCACATCTTGGAGCCTTAGAAGAAGACGACGAATTTGAAGAATTCGCTGCAGAAGGTTAGATTTAGTGGCCAAAAAAGTAGAATTGTATCTTAAATTATCTTTAATAAATATATTTAAAATAAAAGCGTTTGAATGGCACGCGAATGAACTTGATCATAAGAATGCACAGAGCATTTTTTTTTTTTTTTTTTACTTATTGTCACAAAAAGCAAAGTGCGATAAAAAATATCTGTTTCATTTTCATAACTTTTTCATGCTACGATCTATATACTTTTAATTATATAGATTGGAACGAAACCGAAGAAGATCAAGAAACTCATTTATGGGAAGATAATTGGGATGATGAAGATGTCGAAGATGACTTTTCAAAACAATTAAGGTATAAAATCACGTATTTCAATGATATCAATTAAAATAATGTTCAGCTTGCTAAAGTTTTATATTTTTTTTAATCACTATTAAAACCATGATTTTGTGAAAAAGAGCTGAGATTACAAAGTCCACTGCACCACAACCCATGAAGTTATAAAGAAAACGGACGCATCTACAAAAACAATAAATGAAAAAAAAGCTATAATTGTTTAAAAAATAAATATTAAAAAAACCTATAATATTACTATAATTATTGGATTTTTTTTTCAAGATATTAATGCTTTTGATCGTTTGTCTCTATATTCTGGAAGTTTAAGTGGGACAGTCAATACTGCACGTTTTATTCCTTTTGCCTGTGAAATTTTAAGTCCTAGCGTCTCTATTTCTTGCCTATTTATAGGCATAATCTTACATCCCAGCGCTTTAAATAAATTATGGACTCTATTATAGTTTGAGTAAAAAACAAGAATATATAAATAATAAATCAATGTATTTCAAGAGAATAAACATGATATATATTAAATGTGCATACTTTTTAGTGGTTAATCCTAAATCACATGCTAATGGTTCCGGATCAATACGAAAATCGTCAAGAATTAAGCAAAGAGTAAACATATAACATAAAAGTTTTTCTTCAGCCTTTGGAGTTATCTTATATCTAAAATATATTAAATATATTGAATGGACACTAGTAAATATATGTATGTACATAAAGATTCGAAAAATAACAAACATCCTACTTCTTTCGTCCTCCAGACTTGGAAAAGGTTGTCTCAGTAAAACGATCGTAAAGGTTAGTCAAAATGATATCCGGTAATCCTTTCATATTGACAACCATTTCTTGTCTATCATTAAGTACATCATAAGAAACGGATTTGAATGCCATTAAATAGTTGATATATAACAGCAACCGTATACGTTTTAGATTGACATTTTTCGCGTCTAAAGAGGTAAAAAGACGAGAATTAACATATTTTGAGGACCTAAAAAAAATAAAAAAAATAAAAAAAATAACATGGTTAAAGATTATGTACAATTTAATTCAGACAAAAAGAATATTTACAGGCTAATTCAGATATGAATATTTACTTGAACGGCAACAAACTCAATCTATGAGATTCGTGTTTAGCATTCAAAATAGAATGAACAGGAATAGCATCAAATTCAGAAGGTGTCACGATATTATCCATATTATATACATCAGTTACTCTTGTTGCGCTGATATCGTGCGGTGGTATTAGGCGACTTGATTCCATATCAGCTTTTATTTTTTCTATTATAACATGAAAAAGAAGAAAATAAGTAAAAATTAATAAAATTAGTTATTAAAAATATGAAATAACATACCTTTAGTTTTCATAGTTTTTACATTTTCTTCAATATTTGAAACAATTTTTTCAATATTATGTACTTGTGATGCATCAATATTGGCTCTTTCACGTTCAATTATCCTTGCTTTTGCTCTCTTTGAACCAAATTTTCTATCAAGTTCCGTTTTCGCCGTATAATACTGGAAAGTGTATATATAGAATTATTTATATAAGTAAATAATATAGTACATAAAACCCTTAAAGGGTTATAATAAAATAATTACATCAGGCCTAATCGAATCTTTAGGTTCTTCCATTTTAATACGTTTTGGAATAGGAGCCAAATCAATAACAGGCACAGAACTAAAAGTAACTGAATTTGTTTTCTTATTATATATGGCAACTATATACCTACAAACGGAATGGTTGAGTTTATTATGACTTAATGGATTATTTACATTAATAGAAAAGTTTGAACATACTCAGAAGATTGATTTGTAGTAAAGTCGTTCGATTCGTATATTACTCTGGGATTCTCTCCTACGACCAAAGCTCGCCTACCATTTTCACTCTTGTAGACCTGAAAACCTACCTCTCGAGGCGGTGGAATCCCTTGAAAAGAAGCTAGAAAATTTACGTTGAATTTTGAATTATTCAGAATTAAATAAAAATTACGATTAAGTAAAAATCTCACCCAATATAGGACCTTGACTATCAGGATTTGATTCTGAAATATCATTGCTTATACGTACTTCAAGAGAACGTTTACCCATTTTGTGAGAGAAAAAAAAGTTTAGTTATTTGATTATCACTTGCATGATCATCCATCCAGATAACGATAATAGACAAAAAATTTCATCACTTTCTTAGAAAATATCACGTGCCAAGGTAAAACCAGTAATTCTTAATTTCGGAGATTTCACTTTTAGAAACTGACAATATCAGATTCTTTCTGAAAATGAAATTTCGGAAAACTAACAATTACTGGTTTTCTCTTGTCGACACTCATTTCCGGATATTACCAAATTTGGGGGACGTCTAAAAGTGGAGCAGCTTCTTATAATATATATGGGGCATACGGTTGTACAGTCAGACCTCTCTAAGTGCACGCCCCGGGGACCGACCATAAGCGTGCACTTAAAGAGGGTGTGCACTTAGGGA